CAGAGGTGCGGGGTGGAGAGCGGCCTTGACGAGGGCCAGGAGAGCTGCTCCCGGCTGGCCGTGCCGCCCTTCGCCAAGGAGCTGCACGTGGAGATGGTCTGCTCGCCAACGTACAGCGCCGCGGGCCGCTACGACCGCATCCTCTACAAGCACTTCGAAACGCCTCGGTAAGCCAGGAGCCCTCTCGCTGTGGCAGCCAGATCTGATACACATGGATCGTATGTATTAAGCTGCTGATAAATATATGCGTGCTGAACGCTTCTGAAATATTTACCTGCACCGTTTCCTCCTCCTGAGCTGGACTTGCCTGCAGCATCTCTGCTCCCGTCCTTCACAAGATGTCCTTAAGTCTCCTTCCCTCTTTGTGATTAATGGTTCCAACACTGAGGTCTGCCAAATGCCCCAGGACACCCTCTGTGTCCTGTGGTGGGTTCATACGCCAGGATTCAACTCTGTATACATTGAATGGTTGGTCAGCCGGCTGTGTTAGAGGTCTTCTCTCGTGGCTTGTCCCCCGAGCTTCTTCAGAACTAGGTTTAGCTGTTCCAGGCCTAGGGAGGTGATGCTCTTTATAATTAATAGCATCGATCTTTTGTATCACTGGCAGATTTTTCATGGATTTACACTCTAAATCTTTATGTGGCAATTTATCATTTTGGAATGCAGGAAAAGGAACAAAGCACCATGAATAGCTACATTCTTTGTAAAAACATGCGTGGCATGGTGGGTTGTTTCTCATTGGTGAGACTCACTGTATGTATGTGTGTATGTGTATATATATACATATATATATATATATTTTTTCTGTAGGCTTGTCCAGGAGGGAGACATCATATGTATTCCAACATATGGATGTGCTGATTTTTTAGAAGAAAATTCAGACAAATTTCTTAGGTAGGTGGCAATAAAGTGTGGCTCTATTACATGGATAGAGAAAAGGTGTTTTTCCACTGTCGATGCTTTTGAAATGGGGCAATGGATTCACTATGACCTGAGGACAGTCAGTGCCTCATAAACCGAAATGGAAGCTAGGTTTGCTTATGCAGGACAAACCCTAAAGTGTGAACGTTTCTGCACTTTAGAATAACTTGGCCTTGAAACAGTTCTGTGTTGAATGAGAAAAATTACTTTTGTGTCAGAGTAGGGTGTTTGCATTAGGGTTTGGATAGTGGCAATATAAATGCCTCAGTTTTTAGCCAGTGAGGTAACTGAAGAGTGTGATTTAAGTATTTGCCTTGAATGCTTCAGGATATACCAGCCACGTGTTCATCTTCATTACATATTCCAAACGTTCAGAATTTTGGTGTGCTACCATGCTACCATAACAAGTGTTTTCTGGGCTGTTTTTCTGAAGGAGAACGGACCACAGGAAGCACAAGTCTCCCATCTGTACACTTAGGTATTTGCCCTATGGCAGACAAAAGGAGACAGCAGAGTTAATGGGGCCTAGAGAGTTTCAGACTATTGTAGGATGCAAGTAGGACACTCAAGAGATAGAGGAAACTTTTGCAGGTCCTTTAACAATCTGTCCTGTGGGATGTTGGTGGAGGAAGCAGCATTTTCCCGGCCAGGTGTCCAGGACAGGATCTGTGCTTGGATCGGGGTCTGTTCTGCAGCTCAGAGGACTCTGCAGTACAAGGTTTATATGCAGCACACCGAGCTCTGTGCGCTTACAGTGAAGGAACTGATGGCAGAAGAGGAGCTCTGCTTTAGGCAAAGCAGACAAAATGGGAAGGTTGGGACACTAGTTCTTGTGAGCTAAAGCCAGCAGCAGAAGCTGTACCTGTTGGCAGTCACATTGGTCTCCCTAGCCAGTTGGTGCTATGGAATCTGTAAAGGATCTGTGGGGGTCTTGGCAGAGAGCAGGAGTGTCCATACTTACCTGTGCCTTTCAGCTGGCTTCTGGCAGTGAAAGGATTATTCTTGTTGTCCAGATTCGACTCAGTAATTTAGACTGCTTGCTCTTCCTTTAGATGGCCCGAGCTTTACTTCAAAGTGAGGAAGATTTTAGGCATGGTAGAAGGCGAGCAGTCTGAGGGTTACCTGGTGGACACCCAGAACACATCTCTGTACCTGGTAAGATGTCAGTGGAGAGCAGGGCGGGTGTTCATCTGAGGCTGAGGTTGCACTGTAGTGGTGGCAAAGGTGCGTTGGGGGACTTGTGTCTCCTGTTCTTCAAAAAGGGCATTTGGGACACACTTTGTCGCTTGATGTCTTTTCGCTGTTGGTATTTCACAAGAGTTATATTCCTTCCTCGCAGGTGGGATCAACCAACAGTGCTGTCCCATCTTCCCCAGCCTATGGCAGCCATGAGCTGTGGAGCAGTTTGTCTCCTGCTGGACTCTCTGATGTTGTGAAGCAGCTCTGCAGTGCACTTCGGCCTCACCTGAACAGCTCGTGAGTTTAAGCTCCTCCTAGCAAGGCTCAGGAGAGCTGGGACCCTGCTCCGCACTCCGCAGAGAACTGCCTGTTCCCCTGTCCTGTGTTGCAGGGGAACTGCGCTGAGCGGGGCAGGCAGCATCCTCCTCTCGGGACCAAGCGGCAGCGGGAAGCTAACAGCTGTCAAAGTTGCGTGTAGCTGCCTTAACCTTCACCTCTTCAAGGTAATTCCTCGTAGGGACAAGTGGATTCCCTACAGGTGGCTTCCCTACAGTCACAGAAATAGCCTTTAAGATAACAAAAACAAAAAGTTTGCAGTCATGACAATGACCCTCCTTAGAAGCCATTCCTGTGCGTGCATGCAAATAAAGGGAGTGCACGTATGCTGAGATTGTGGATTCTGTTGGGTATAACCTGAGAGCAACTCTGTGGGTCAGTTCAAAGGTCTGTCTGATGGGATGAGGCTGTAGGTGCTCCCAGGGACGGCTCCCATGCAACCGCTTGGCACCAGGAGGCAGCACTGCCAGTTCCCAGCAGCGCCGTGGCCCCTTCTGAGTGGCTCCATCCAGTGTTTGCCTTGTAAACAGTGTCTGGGCCTCCAGCCACCTTTTTTTTCCTAATAACCTTCTACCTTTCTCCTGCACGCTGAGCCCATGTCACAGAAGACTGAACAGCTTCCTAAGCCTTCCCCTCTGCTCTTTGCACTGTTCCTCCAAAGCATCTTGTTCTCCTTGTATTGGCCTCTTGCATGGCTCTCCCATCCCTTCTGGATTATGTTGCATGAGCAATTGCATCAGCTTTAGCAATTACTCCAATTCCTTGCTGTCACCTCTTTGAGACAGGAGCTGCCCTCACCCCTCATAGGGAAGCAGCCATTTGCCTGTGCTAGGAAATCTGGAATCCTTCCCTGTCTGTTTTGTGCCTCATCAGCTGTTTCTGACAAAGTGTGTCTGGGGAATGCCCACCTTATCTCCCCTTTCAGAAGCGTGTTGCTGTTGGAAAATGCTACATAAGTGAGGGCTGCTCTCAGCCCCACGCTTGCCACCCTAACAAATTATGACTTGTGTGGCTTCTCTTGCAGGTCGATTGTGTTAGTTTGTGTGGTGACAGCAGTGGAGCCACGGAGGAGAAAGTGCAGGTGGCCTTCACTCGGGCCCAGCAGTATCACCCGTGTGTGCTTCTGCTGAAGGACATAGAGGTGCTTGGTAGAGACCGAGATGGGCTGGGAGAGGACTCCAGGGTCATTGCTACCCTGAGGCAGCTGCTCCTGGACACAGATCCTGCAGTGAGGTATGGACCCTGCACATTTGCTGTGGGTACCTGGTGTTGTTGTAAACCTGTGGGGTCTTTCCCATATTTGCTTTGGTTATTTCAGAGGCATCTTGCTCTTGCAGCTTAGGCGTTGCAGGAATCGAGAGATTTTATCCTCTAAAACTGTGCTGGTTCCTGACTTTACTCAGATGCATGTGCAGGGGGTTGAACTAGATGACCTCTAGAGGTCCCTTCCAACCTTAAGCATTCTATGAGCAAATATGGCATGTTTTAGTGGGGCTAAAATGAGAAGGGCTGCAGGACGTGCAAGGTTGCACTGGGTCTGTGAGGCCAGGCCCCAGGAGAGTCCTGCAGCAGATGGCAGGTACCAGAGAGGGAGGCATCAAGGGAGGAAATAAGATGTCTCTTGAGGAGACAGGACTTGCAAAGCAGCCCAGAAGTTAAACTGGAGGAGAGTGACTATATGAGAGAGCTTTGCTAGTGCATGCGGGTGTCAGAGGAAAAGCTGCCCTTTGGAGAACAGGGTAGCGAGGGGGGTGGCCATGGGGAAAGGGGCCTTTTTGTAGAGCTGAGGCCATGGGCTGTCCCCCCTTTCTCTGCAGCCGCCCCATCTTGGTGATTGGCACAACGTGCAAGCCCCGGGCTGTTCCCACAGACGTGCAGACTGCTTTCCTTCACGAGGTGAAAATCGAAGCCCCTTCTGAAGAGCACAGGAGGTTGATGCTGGGTGCGCTGACCGCCAGCCTTCCTCTGGGCAAGGAAGTGAGCCTCTCCAAGCTGGCCCGCAGGACCGCGGTGAGTGGGACCGTGCTGGGGAGCAGACGGGCAGCCCCGAGGCTCGGCAGGCCACGAGTGTTTGCCAACCTCCTCTACCAGGCCATGGAGAAAAGGGGCAGTTCCCAAAGCCCCAGCAGCTTCGTTGGTGGATAACTGGTACTCAGACGTTGGGGTGCTGTCAGCTTTTGCTGCAGGGTTTCCAGTGCCAAAGGACTGGAGATCTTTAGCAGAGGTGCTGGTTGATGCTAGAAGGGTACTCATCACCCTGCAGACTGAGCTGAGTTAAATAAATTAAGCTAAAGACTTGAACAAGGGCATAGAGGGGCAAAAATGCCTTCGCAAGAAGTCTCTCTGCGTTCACCTTGTGCGCCTTAGCTGGAGCAGCGGTCAGGGCCTGAGCTGATGCCCGTGGTTTTCTCATTCGCAGGGGTTTGTGCTGGGAGACTTGTGTGCCTTGCTGTCCCACAGCAGCCGTGCTGCTTGTGCCCGCATCCAAGCTCTGAGGTAGCGTAAGGGCAGGGCGGCAGGAGGAGGTGGCTTGGCTGCAGCAAATCTGATAACGCTGGGAGTGGAGCGGGCAGTGCCTCCGTCTCTCACTTGTTTTCCCTTGCCAGTTTTCCAGGTGGACTGAGCGAGGAAGTGGAGAGAGATTTTTGCACTGCTGGCTTCCCTGTGCTGGAGGAGGATTTCAGTGTAGCGCTGGACCAGCTACATGATGCCCATTCGCAGGCAGCGGGAGCCCCAAAGGTAGGTTCCTGGAGCAGAGGTGAGGATTTGAGTCTCTAGAGCTGTGTGGCTTCTCATCTCTCCCTTTTGCAGGCCTTGCCAGACCTGGGCTCTGCTCTAACACGTTGCCTGCTTATGTGTCCTCTCACATCCCCCACTTGGGAAAATAATCCTGCTGTGGTCTTCCCCCACTAGTGATTTTTTCCCACTGTTGACCTTTAGTCTGGGCAGGGAAGCACTTGTGGCTCTAATTGGAGACTGTTTAATTAAACAGTGTGCTAGCAGTGCCAGACTGTATGGTACCCCTCAAGGAGCAGAGGCGACTGGTGGACTGGCTGCCTTGT